ATTTTTACGCTAGATTTAGCGGAGAAATTTTTCCGCTAAATCTAGCGGGGAAATTTTTCCGCTAGATTTAGCGGGGAAATTTACCCATAATGCACCGCGCGCTTACGCCGACGGCGACGGCGACGGCGACGCCGACGCCGCTTAAGCCGGAAACGGGCCCCTAAGAGCTGCGCTCTAAAATGAGAGCCGTTTACAACTCCCTGTAACACCGAATTGGAGCGCAGCTCTTGAGGAGGAGGAGGGAAGGGTACTGAGGGTTACCTGTTCTCGGGGCGGGGGGGGGGGGGGGGTCATGCGACCTTGGGGGGTCACGTGACCCCCCAGAAAAAATTTTCCGCTAGATTAAGCGGGGAATTTTTTCCGCTAGAGTTAGCGGGGAAATTTTTCCGCTAGGTTTAACGGGAAAATTTTTCCGCTAGACTTGGCGGGGAATTTTTCCGTTAGATTTAGCGGGTTAATTTTTCCGCTAGATTTAGCGGGGCATTTTTCCCGCTAGATTTAGCGGAAAAATTTTTCCGCTAGATTTAGCGGAGAAATTTTTCCGCTAGATAGATTTAGCTGGGAATTTTTTCCGCTAAATCTAGCGGGGAAAGTTTTTCCGCTAGATTTAGCGGGAAAATTTTTCCGCTAGATTTAGCGGGGAATTTTTTCCGCTATATTTAGCGGGGAATGTTTTCCGCTAAATCTAGCGGGGAAAGTTTTTCCGCTAGATTCAGCGGGGAAAGTTTTTCCGCTAGATTTAGCGGGGAAATTTTCCCGCTAGATTGAGCGGGGAATTTTTCCCGCAAAAATTTTTCCGTTAAATTTAGCGAAATTTTTCAGCTAGATTTAGCGGGGAAATTTTTCCGCTAGATTTAGCGGGGAAATTTACCCATAATGCACCGCGCGGTTACGCCGACGGCGACGGCGACGCCGACGCCGCTCAAGCCGGCAACGGGCCCCTAAGAGCTGCGCTCTAAAACGCGTCAGAAATGTCTACAGAAAATTGGGCAGCATGCTAGGTTTTCAAGAAGCCTAAAAACACCATTAAAAAAGTGAAAGCCGTTTACAAATCCCTGTAACGCCGAATTGGAGCGCAGCTCTTGAGGAGGAGGAGTGAAGGGTACTGAGGGGAGGGTAGACCCCTCCTCCTTCTCCTCCTCCTCCCCTCATTCTTTAATATGCTCCGGGAGGGGGGTCACGTGACCTCGGGGAGGCGTGACCTGGGGGTCACGTGACCTTGGGTGTCACATGGGGGTCACCTCAAGGTTACGTGACCCCCAAGGTGACCCCCACGTGATCTCAGGGGGTCACGTGACCTTGGGGGTCACGTGACCTTGGGGGTCACGTGACCTGGGGGGACACGTGGGGGTCACCTTGGGGTCACGTGACCTTGAGATGACCTTGGGGAGGAGACCACGTGACCTCAGAGGGGTCACGTGATTTGGGGGTCACGTGACCTTCAAAGGATCACGTGGGGTCATTTTGGGGTCACGTGACCTTGAGATGACCTTGGGAGGGGTCACGTGACCTTGGGGGTCACGTGACCTTGGGATGACCTTGGTTACGCCGACGGCGACGCCGACGCCGCTCAAGCCGGGAACGGGCCCCTAAGAGCTGCGCTCTAAAAGTGAAAGCCGTTTACAACTCCCTGTAACACCGAATTAGAGCGCAGCTCTTGAGGAGGAGGAGGGAAGGGTACTGAGGGTGAAGTGACCTGGGGGAGTCACGTGACCCTGGGGGTCACGTGACCTTGGGGGGTCACGTGACGATGCCGATGATGTCATCAGTGACGTCACTGATGACGTCATCCGTGATGATGACAATGACGATGCGGATGCCGGTGACGTCATCAGTGACGTCACTGATGACGTCATCAGTGATGATGACGATGACAATGCGGATGCCGGTGACGTCATCAGTGACGTCACTGATGACGTCATCAGTGACGATGACGATGCGGACTCCGATGACGTCGTCAGCGATGATGACGAGGACGATGCGGATGTCGATGACGTCATCAGTGGCGTCACTGATGACGTAATCCGCGATGATGACGATGACGATGCGGATGCCGGTGAGGTCATCAGTGACGTCACTGATGACGTCATCAGTGATGATGACGATGACGATGTGGATGCCGGTGACGTCATCAGTGACGATGACGTCATCGGGGAGGTCACGTGACCTCGGCGAGTGGGTCACGTGACCCTGGGGGGTGGTCACGTGACCGCGGGGGTCACGTGAGCTCGGGGGGTCACGTGACTTTGGGTGTCACGTGACCTTGGGGGTCACGTGGCCCTGGGGGAGGGGTCACGTGACCTCTGGGGGGCACGTGACCTTGGGGTAACCTTGGGGGCCACGTGACCTTGGGATGACCTTGGGGGGTCGCGTGACCTTGGGGTGACCTTGGTTACGCCGACGCCGACGGCGACGCCAACGGCGACGCCGACGCCGCTCAAGCCGGGAACGGGCCCCTAAGAGCTGCGCTCTAAAAAAATCTTTACTGTCCCTTTAAACCCATTTTGTTGTAAAAAAAAATCTTTAAGCTCCAGTTTAAAAAAAATGCTTTTCGTATAAGGTTTGTCAAATTATGAGGCGCTGGAGAAAACCAGCCTTCTGCGTTAAGTTCTTATTTCGATCTCTTTTTGTTCGTGTTCCGCCCATTGAAATGCATGCGGCAAGGGCCTCAGCACGCACCGCGTATTGCTGTGCCGCAGTGTTCTTCCGCAGCATAAAGGCAGTCTGCTTTCATCGCCATCCCCATGGCAACGAATGCCGATTTTTTGAACACCGTCCACTAGCCAAAGTTTAATACAACGTGGGTTTAATAGTTACGATCCCCAGTGATGCACGCGCCTTCCGAAAAGGTCATTCAGCGTTCGTTGCCATGGTGACGGCGATGAAACCCGACGGCCCTTTTTGTTGAGGAAGAACACTGCGGCGCAGCGTTACGACGTGTAGGCTAAGCACACTGAAAGGAATACGTTTAGGTGATGACTCTGGCCGCTCTTCCCGCGGGGAACGAGCGACCAGATAGTGTTCGGAGCTAGCCTCGAACCAGTAGTAGTTAGTTCCGCGCCGCCGCAGAGGGCGCTGCGGTATGAGGTTCCTCCTTGGCGGCCACGTATCCCCGAAAGCGAACACAAGCGTGTTCGCTCTCAGGGGTCATGAAGTCCATCTCCGCTACGTAAAACAATCGTCTGCTTCAAACGCCTTTGCCTTGGAAATTGCCTCTGAAAATTTTCACACGCATCCAATTTTATGAAAACTTTGATAAAGTGTTTAGTGCTTTACCAACTTCACGACACACTAGTTTTGAAAAGTGTGAACTCTGCGTTTATTTTTTTTTAATCAGCCGTGCTGCGTCGATCTTCATTTGTTCTCCCATAGGGCGGGCCGCCTCCTGGAATCATGAGTACCACGTGACTCGCGCCCAGCTGCTCTGTCGGCCATGTTGTCGGAAAAACACGCGGATCAAAGAATTGCGTTACTCTTCTCCGTAAGAGCTAGTGCTCTAGTGTCGGCAGCGTAGCGTGCTCGCCTTTTTCGCAGTGTGGTGGTGGTGTGCGGCCAGTGGCTGGCCTCGTGTTTTGCTTAGGTGCTGTGTCGATCACAGGTGCCACCATCGTGCACCAAGGTGAGCCTTAACCCCCCCAAAAAAAGGAAGAAGGAAGAACACACATTTATGGACTTTGGCGACTTGGTGGCGGCGTGGCGACGGTGAGGTACAACAAGAAGCGGTGAGCGAGGGAATGCGGGACCACCGCCGGGGAGAAACAACCGGAGCGGTTGTTTTGGGAGGGACGCCATACCTGGGCGCCATCTATCCCCGTGCGAGTGAAGCGCGCTCGGCGCGCCAAATATAATGTGGCCGCCGCGTCGGACAGAGGGTCAGCCCCTAGATGTGTTTCTTCCATCGTGGTTACAACAAGAAGCGGTGAGCGAGGGCATGCGGAGACTACCGTTGGGAGAAAACACCGGAGGGGTCGGTTTGGGAGGGATCCCATACTTAGGCGCCATCTATCCCCGTGCGAGTGAAGCGCTCGGTGCGCCGAACATAATGTGGCCGCCGCGTCAGACAGAGAGTCTTCATCTAAATGTGTTTCTTCCACCGTGGCGCTGAGGCGCTTCCCGCATGCTTTTCAATGGGCGGAACGCGAACAGAGAGAGTTCAAAATGTTTTTTTTTTGGTCAACCCGCGTCCTGTATTTTTTTTTTTATCCGTAACATGGATCTAAACTCTAAACTTAAACTATCAAACTGCCGAATCTCTCTCCCTTCGTCGTGCCATTCTTGGCGTGATGCCAGGACTGCCTTCTTCGCACTTTGCGCGGCACGGCCGACGGGAATTCCCGATTTCCCTTTCCTCGGCCCAAAAGAGGGGAGAAGAAAAGCTTTTTTTTATTATTCGTGCGCGCGGCGACGACAACCGACGAGGTCGAAATCTCAGCAATGTGTCGCTTGTAAAGCTATCGCTTTAAAACACAGGCCAGCTGGGGTCTTATAACAGGGTTTCTTTCCTCGAGTGCTACAAGTACAAGTGGGAACTTAACGAATACTGCAAGTGCACGTACGCGTGTTCGTGCAGCCGAAATGCTTGCTAAATGGTTAAGCGCGGGCTTGTAGAAAGGCTTCCGCCGAAACGCTGAGAGACGTTTGATGGTTTTGATCCTGGTTGCTCAATATCAGTGGCGAGTGACAACTTAGAGGCTGTGTGTGTGTGTAGATAGGGTGTGTGTAGATAGATCGCGTGCTCAACAGAAGCACCTTTCAAGTTGCCGTTTTTGACATTCCATAGTCTGTCAATGATAGAATGAATCTTACTAAAGATGACATAATGAACTATTGGCCGATCGTGAAAGCCTACAGCGACAAGCACTTCACGCTCGTTTCAAAAGCGCACAAAACGCTTCGGAATGCGCAAATGTCAAGAAAAAAGAAAAAAAAACAAAAACGTTCCGAAATCATTTTGAAAATTAACTTCGGAGATTTATGTTAGCTGATTGTTTACTGCATCCTTCAGTATCAATGTTATTTTTTATTATTTAGTAGGTAGCAGAGGGCGGCCACTGGCCTCGCTTTGTCTTTCTTACACTATCAGTGGATTGTACTCTGATGCGCGTGCGTGTATTTCATCGTACACTGAGGACCGTCTGCACAGTGATCTGTCGTCCGAGCTCTTCTGCCGTGACGTCCTCGTGGGTTGTGAACTCCAGATGACGCGTCGAATCCTTCATGAGGAAGCCGTTGTCGGAGAACTGTCCTCTCGCCCCGTGCGAACTCAACCACACGAAGAGGGCCACGTTGTCCGTTACTACAGTCAGGCTGAACACTTTGGAGTTTCCTTCCAAGGTAGATGGACCCATGATGTGCGTCACCTGGAAGAAAAGATTGGAAAGAAAGAGGTCCGACCGTTCTTCGAGACTTATCCCCCCCGCCCTCCCCCAAGTAAACGAGCTCGATCGTTGTAAAGAGGTTTTGCTGGAAACATTCAGACCGACATTTCGAATTTAAGTTGATCACATGGGGTATACAGAAGCATGGGGTAGAGTGCACATGGTATACGGCGGTGTATGCATTGGGGTATGGTGCCTGAAATGCGGCCTCAACTGGTGAGCTAAACCGCGTCATCATCTGTGGTCCTTTGATTTCCGCCGATGTCGTCGCACTTGTGTCATGCCTGCCGCAATCCCGGCGGAATAGCAGAGCGGCGGGAGTACATGCTGCAGACGCTCTGCTGCATGCAGCACCGGACTAAGAAAGCTTCAGCGGTCAGAATTTAGGACACGCGATGACAGCGACACCTGCGTTCGCTCGTCCATTTTGCGGGAACTTCTATGACCAAGCCATTCGACAGCATGACACGCCGGTTCCTTTGGTGTCATTTGGTGCCGCTTCGGGACCGCTTTATATATTTGTATAGGGTAAGATCGCAACAGGTATGATTGAAATCAATTTTCATATGCGTTTACAGTCGTACGTTAAACAATGTCGGCAATTAGTTCTACAGTTCAGTTTTATTGGAAAAAATTGATCTTTGAAACAGTTTAGTTCTCGCAAGGTATGGGCGTCAAACTCTCGAGTGATTTTAATCTTGATGCATGGGCGGTATGAGAGGCTAAGCACATCAGTCGAATGCGGATTTCAGGCACCGTGATTGGGGCCCCCGCTCGGCCTAAAGGACGCGTATACCTTCACAGTGGCGTTCTGCAGGCCAGTAATGGATCGTGGCGGAGACGGCAGGGCGTATGCTTCCGGAGCCAGAACGCCTCCCGCTTCGTCCTTCAGAGTGAACCACAGGAAGCAGGTTCGGTCCGTGCAGCCGCTATTTTTCCACACGGTCGAGATCGGCGCTTTAAAGACAGCCAGTGAAGTTTCGTTGGGCTGAAAAGAAACACGCATAAGACGAAAAAAAATTACTACACGGTAAGTTTATTATGGATTTTTTTTTAACGTTTCAAGTGCACAATAACAGAGGGAGTTGCGTTGAAATATACGCAGTTAACGTTCGTCAGGTTGCTTGAGCTTTCCTGGTAATATGGGATTCGAAAGAAAGCATTACCGTCATACATTAGCGAATTCACAATAGCGCCACAGTACTTCCATCCAATGTTACATAAATTTAGCAGAGAAGAGTTGATCGGTTGCTATCGATTAGTCACATCGTTTGGCATTTTTCGCTGAAGAACGAAATTTAACGTGCTTACATCTAATTCATTATTATAATTTACTTTAAATCAACTCTATAATCCGCGTGGCAGCCTACCCGCCTAGATAGTAAAGTTTTGAGTGTGATGTAGCTACTTATTTTTGCTGATGTATTGTGCAAGCAAGCAGCCCTCGCTATTACTGCGATAATAAATCTATGTTCGTCGTTGTCTCGAACGGCGCTGATCTTGTTTTTGAGGAAAAGGGAAGCGGGTCATGATCATGATTCGGGTGGGATAAAAGAAACAACTTATTTGGCTTACTAAACAATAAGAAGTTTTAAGGCGTGCAATTGAACCCAATGTTTGCGCAAAAGCTAAAGGTAGTAGACCCTTAAAATTGTTCGCGTGATTACTTCACCACGAAGCACGCTAAAAAAACAGCATAAAAATTTGTTTATCACGATTAATCGAGCTGTGATTAATTAACGCGAGTAACAAAACTCTAAAGTTGTGTAGAAAAAAAAAAAAACAACTACAAAAAAAAAATCGTGAGGGTGCAGGCGAGCTGGTGAATAGTGAATGAGACGTCGTCCTGTTTATTTTCTTTCCCTTCTACGTTTTGATGTTTCTTCTTTACCCCAGTCTCAGGTTAATTCAACATGGTTAACTACCACAACAACTTTTATCTGCGCTGGGACAAACAACATTTTATATGCTCAGTGCATATGAACTGCAACCTGCATTGAGGCCTGCCTCAATGCAGGTTGACTTTTTTCTTCAAATAGCTTTTTTTTTCGGTCTCGTTAATTACCCCCTTTCATCAGGTCATCACAGCGATTGACTCCCGGCGCGGATTAAGGATGTAAAAATGGCTATCCTAAACAAAATGACGTCATGAAGAGTGAATGACAATTAACGCTTTGACACTCGGACGCTGCGCGAACCTGTTACCGCGAACACAACGTCGGTGTGTCTTATCATTTTCATTCGAAACAGCGTTTTGTGACGCATCGAATTTCACCGTTTAGGCTAGGGCTGCCGCTGAGCCCTTTACACCGCATCAGTTGTTTTACGACAAACCTCGTATTATAAGTAAAAAAAAAAGAGAGAAAAAAAGAAGCGCTATCGCCTGTTTGCGTTAACAGTGTCGCATAGCGTATACATGTATTCACAACTTCCGAAGAAACAAAGGCGTATATGTCACACTGAAGAATTCCGGAGAGGGGGACATAGCAAACAAGGGGGCAAACACAACACCGTCTCAAATCTTGAGACGGTGTTGTGTTCGCCCCTTCTTTTTCTGTGTGCGTGCTTCTTTTCGTCTCGGTTTTTTTTTTAAATTCTTTTTTAGCGTGATCGCCCATTAGCTTGCTTGCGTAATCAGCCTGATGTATTATTCGTAGATCAACGCGCTGTTTCCGAACAAGCGCGCGTTTGCCAAGTGTGCACGCACCATGCGTGCTCCAGATCCTTAAGGGCACAGGGTAAGGTAAAATTGAAAGAAAAATCGATTTTAGTTTTTTTCGCAATTTGAAAAGTTTAGTTCTTTCTGCACATTTTCCATTGTCCCAGTGTTTTTAGAAAGCTATATTTAGGGCTGAAAATCACTTCTTCCGAAAGCAAGTAGCAGGTGACCACGCCTCCTTTTGGGATACACTCCCTGTTTATCGATGAATTCTCCAACAAAACAAAATCAACACAAGACCTAAAAGCTTGTCCAGTAACAGATAATCTCAGAAAATTATTTCGCAACTATTGCATAGCTTTTTTTTTCAACCAAGACAATGACGAGACGCTGTGCACGTTTCTCCTAGGTGTGTACCGTGTGTACATTCAAGCGTTTGTGTTTTCGTAACGACAAAATGGCGCCATTGAATGCTGTTCCTTTATTCAATGGTGGCAGCATTGCACAAGCCAATGTTTTGAAGTTTTGTGGATGGAACCCTGTTTGGAAAGCCATCAAGTGGCTGAGGGAAGTTGACGTCACTCGTATATACTTTACGGACCAAGCGACATGGCAGGTCACAAAAGAGGCCCGGCAAGCAAGGCGATAAGCCTAAAGGCGAAGACATGACTTTAGCAATGCCTTTCAAGCTGGCGGCTATTGAAAAAATTACTCTGAGGCTGTTGGTGCCAATAGGAATTCGTTATTCACCAGTTTTTTTACTTTAAACTCAATTATCTCAAAACAGTGTTTTTTAGTACATAGGTACCATTTTTTCCTTAACCTGACATTATAGAGGGTTGATTTTTTATTTCTACCACATACATGGGTGTTCAAAAATACTGAACTAAAATTAAAAACGTGCACCTAGCAGTTTTTGAGTTACGAAGTTTTTAATAGATGAAAACAACTAAAATTTCAGTGCTAGAATAAAAAAATATAAAAAAAGAACTTATTTTAGATTGGTTCAAATAATTCTAGTTCAGTGGATAACACACAATATTTCGAACAAAATGATATTTACATGACAGGAATACTCCTAATAGTCACCGAGAAAAATGTTCCTCAACATGGCCTCAAATGCATGGGGAGTATAGGACTTATCCTGTGCCCTTAAGAAATGAAGCGATTTCGCGAGCGCAGGGCCGACAGCAGCGCCACCGTATTAGCGTGACGTCAGGGAGCTGAGCTGGTGCATAGTATACTCCTGAGGAGGCTCCACCCTCACAATCCCAGCGAAAAATGGCGCTACTACAAAACCACTTAGTATACGAACCAACGTTACTAGATTAGGTCAGTCGTGGAACTCCCGCAGAGTTCCCCAACTCCGCGGGAGTTCCTCAACTCCTGACCTTAGATGCATGAAATATGGTGTACGAATAATAGAATGTCTCTAAATGCTAGTAAGTGCGTTCTCGTAAGCTTTTACCAAAATATAAAAGAAATTAACTTTTCCGTATTTTCTCTACAGTGATCCAAGAAGAACATGAGCAACATGAAAATACTTAGGTGTGATATTTTCTAAAGACGGTTTATGGTCAGAGCAAGTAAACCATGGAAATGGGGAAATCAGGCAGGTCTCTTCTCTTCTTTTTTTTGCAGCGTAACCTCAAGCATGTTAATGTTAGTAGCGAGGTTAAAAAAATCGCCTGTCAAGCATACGTTAGGCCGATTCTGGAATAGGCTTGCCCTGTGTGGGATCCGGTTTACTGTGTTTATGTCAATGCACTCCAGCGCATTCAATCTGTCACTGGTCAGTTTGTCCTGACGGTCGTTCTTTAAGCACAACAGAAATGAGGGAGCGCCACACACGCCTCTCTTTGAAGCTTTTTCATTCTATTTATGATAAACTAACAGGAAGTTCTGCCTCACCATGCTTACAACAGCTAAACTGTATTTCGCCGAGAACATATGATTCTTGCAAAGTTCGACCGTATGCCGTCAGGACCAACCTTTTTAAACATTCATTTTTTGTGCGTTTGTGCGTGTGCGTGTGCCGCGAGAATGCTGGTATATTTTTATAATGCATTGTGCCCCCCCCGCAACAATGCTCAACAGGCGCTGGTTTTTTTTCTTTAATTAAGAATAAAGAGGGGGGTACTGGCCCCCCCCCCCCCCCCCCCCTCACTCACTTCAGTACATCTCCAGTCGTTTGAAACGCCATCTAGATTTTTGTTGCAAAACCGTGCATTCCATAGAGTATGGTGAAACGCAATCTGGAGGCTGTGCATTGAAAACAAACGCATTATATAGAATACTCTGCAGTTACCAAAGCAGTCCCCCCCCCCCCCCCCCCCCCCCCCTCTTCTCCAAAACGGTGGTGCGACGAACGACGGGAGACGAGCCGTGGGTAGAGAGGGGGTACAGCTCGTGCAAGGAGCGTCTATGGTCAGTTCCGTAACTGAGCTAATGTAGTAACCTTGGTACGAACGCACCATTTTACTCACGTCACACATACACACAAAACAAAGAGCAACCGTCAGCACCTTTTTTTAAAAAATAATTTGTCGCCCCACAAAAACAAAGCTCCACCTAACGGCATTAATGTCAGTCAAAAGCGTTTAATTTCTTTTTTGTTTTTGCTGATCCACTTTTTTTTTTTTACGTTGATAGCTTAAGAACAGCAAGATGTGGCTATTTACGACGGCTCTTGTGGCTTCAAGATTGGTCATCGTATGTTGTTATCAACCGATTAGCTCCCTAGCGATAACGAGATGCTTGAAGCACATTTTAAGTTCACTGATCCTTCCGTCATTTTGTTTTTCCTTTTTGTTTGTGTTTTCCGATGATTTGCCTTCAGCCAGATAAAAGTGCTTGATATTAAGTAGATTTCGATTTTATCTACATTAATCATTATCCACTCTCAAAATGCTCGCGCGTCTACTTCCCCGCAGAACGCTTGGGGAACCAATCCCATCATCTGCTGCACTCAGCAAATGACAAGGCCGCAAAAATGTTTCCACGAAAACATCAAGTCTGAGACGGCATGGAGTATGGCACCAGCATCCTCTCTGTCACATCTACGGTGCCCGTGTAGCGCCTCCGACCGGGGGGTTTGGCGTCTTATTCCGCCTATGCATGGGAAGTGGTACCGAAGTGGCAACAAATGACGCCACAAAAAACCGGGGTGTCACGCTGTCGGATGTCGCGATTCTGGCGGTCGGTCGTGGAAATGCTGGCGAAAAACACGAGCGAACGTGAATGTCGCTGTCGTCACGGCGTCCCAACACCTGGCTGCCTAAGCTTCCGTAGGCTGCCAAGCTGGCAAGCGACCTGCAGCAGAACAGGCGTCTGCCACATAGGTCTACCTTTGCCGTGGCGCCGCCAGGATTGCGCCTGGCAACAGAATGATCTTTTTATGACGTCATCAAGTGGAAATTGAGGGACCACTTTTTTTGGACGCTGTAAACACACTCACGTCTCTCCGAGTGGTCTGCGGTGAAGTTAACACCCGTTAATGTTTTAAAAGCGTCGAAGCATTTTTCTTTAAAGAATATAAAACTGGCAATTTCTGGGACGTACCAAAGTGAAGTTCAAAGTTGCCGAAATCAGAGGAGTGAACGACTGCCACTTGTACGTCTCCACGTGCAGCGTTACGTTCTGAAATGACTCCCGAAGATCATTGACGACAAATATCTGCAATTCGCGATTGCGTTCACGGGTGATGAAAGGAGAAATCAAAATGGGACTGAAAAATTTCTTGGCGAAGTACTGAAGCATCTTCCACCGGCCTCCGTACTCTGTAAAACGAAAAGGCACGCAACGCAATAAGAAAGAAGTCATCAACGAATCCAAAAAGTCACGTCCACAGGAAAAACAAATATTATCATCCATAAAAGCCGTGGACACAAAACACACATTTTCCAGAGTACACAGCACAGAGAAGTACATGGTCATGTTCCTTGACATAAGCAGCTCTTCGGTTGCATTTGTATATAGAGTATGTGAATTCAATCAAGATAGCATAAACAGTAACTCTCCTCTTCCCCAAGAGTGCTAGCTTATGGTAAACGGAGGGAATCTGTCACAGTTCGACCCCGTTTCCTCATAGCACACTTTTATATACATATAAGCGTAAGGTTAGCATTTTTAGCGCTCATACTGAAAACAAAATTTAATAACAAATTCTAAGTACCCTCTTGCGTGCACTGCACAGTACATGAGAACTAGCCTTGACGATAACACCGATTTACCTATATACAAGGCTCAGTATCGCAAAGTTTCGTGGATACACTAACCTCAAAATCAAAGACTGCCCGCCCACTTCTCCTCAAATCTCTCAAACTCACACACACACGCGCGCGCACGCACGCACACGCACAAACACACAAGCACACACACAAACACACACACACACACACGCACGCACGCACGCACACAAAATAGCTAAGAAAGTGCACACTTGAACAGGAAAACGCCAATGGTGGTGTCAGGTTCAAACTCGCGGTTGAAGTTGGGAAAACGGGTGTTTCTTTGAGTTAACGCGCCACAGAATGAAAGCGTGGCGAGCGCGTTAAATGTGAGCCCGGGCGTCACGCACCGATAGACGCCCACGAGGGAGCTTGCCAGATGTCGTTGAGCTGCCAGTACAGGGCGCCCATGGTGTGTCCCTGGCCCTTATCGTCCACGTGGCCCCTCCAGCGCCGAAAGGACTCGGTCGCCGTTCGGATGCCTTCTGCCTGCGCGATCTGACGATCAAAGCAATGGGCTGCTTTTACATGCAATCGACCGTAGCACATCGAATTAAGATTTGTTGACAATAATTGGGTGGAAGAAAAAGACACTGGAGGATGGGGGGCTGCGAAAATCGCCCCCACCCCCTTCCATTTGACAAGCTTCGATTGCATGTATGTAAGAGCAGCCACTGTCAGCAGAGTACACACAATAGTCAAAATCACTCCAGGAATATTGTTTTCAAAAGAAGAAACCAGGTAGTACTAGAAAAGTGCAGACCGAAATACATTAAGATGAAACACAAAAATTGAGAACAGGTTGTATACGCTACCGTAGCTTAAGTACGCCATCAGTGACTGAAGGAAAAGGCACCGACAGCAGTGATGCACATATATTAAGATCTTGTCAGAGCTCATCACTGACCCCAAATCAATTATTAACAACATGAGTTTCACAGTACTGGTTGCATGTTACAGCACAAGAGGTTGACTGCCGTCCAGAAACTTGTCTTCATGACCGGTTTGCTAGAAACAGCGTCTCAGGTAAGGCTGGGGTAAAGAAAGAACCGCCAAAGCCAGCGCACGAGATGAGCGGGACTCAAACCGCGTCTAAAGACGCTCCCGTCTTTGCAGTGTTTTCGTTAATCCAGTCTCGGCTGAGACGCCGTTCCAGCAAGCCGGCCCAGGTGTCTTCCTGACTCGTCGTGCTCAGAAGACCTCGCTTCAGTCCACTATCAAATTCTACAGGACCACTCAATGAGGCGAGAAGTGAAAAAGATATTTTGGTCCATTGAAGAAGCGCAAGAAATGGTATACATCCCTGGTTGCGTGCGCGATCACTATTGCTCGAAAAATTCAACCATTTGTATAGAGAAGTGCTGAATGATTTTAATGGACCAAAATGGAGATAGTAAAGCCATACTGTTTACTGCTCTCATGCCCATTTGCATTAAAAAAAGAAAAAAAAATTATTTAATTTTTATCAGTAGGGGAATGTACAATATTATTTTCCCCCTGACAGAAACGACGACTAAAAGTGCAAACCCAGATTTTCCTTAAAGGGGTCATGTAACAATATCGAGTTGGAATGTTCATGACTTTCCAGAGGCATACTGGTTTTTGTCTGGCTCAAGTACACAAGTTTCTTTGTCGCGGTGAAACTAAGAAAATAAAAGAGGACTACTTCTTTCAATCTTGCCTTCGTAAAGCTTGGTGACGTAATTCTGGGATTAAAACCACCCGCCTGACGGCAGTCGAGCGCGGATCATGGATTGAACACGAGAACAGCGTGAACACTCGACTTCGGCTCGTAACAATCAATGCCTCGGTGAACGCTTTGGTTGGCTCGTGTTCAACAACTACGGTGATTAGAGTAGCCGAACTCTAGCAATGCCTGGAGCTCAGCGTGCGTTTTCTGCTTTGCCAACCTCAGCGCGTGGCTTATATGATTAACCTTGGCAGCATAGGATAGGCACCAGGCCACGTGGCAGCTTGTTCTGGCTCCGAGTTGAGGGGATGAACGATGCTCATATTTTTCGAAATTTTCAGGTGACTATACCTGAAAATTGCTTTTGTTGGGATAGGCTACGCTTTAGTTGGGATAGGAAGGCATAAACGTAAGGTCGCCGGAGTAAGAAGTTGGTAAGGTCCCCATAGTAAACCATTGAAAAAGAAAACTTTCGGCCTTTCCACTGTGGTGAAGAAGGAAGACCAGCAAAGCTGTACTATGGTGGAAAGGAAGCAAAGGCCGGCCGCAAGCCGGCAAGCCAGAGGGGAAAGGCTGAAAAGGTTGCCGCCATCTATGAATGACGGCGGCAACCAGACAACCGGCAAGTCGGTCGTCTGGTTGCCGTCGTCGTTCATAGATGGCGGTAGCTGTCCGGAGTGTTGTGTCGACATTGATTTGCTGGAGAACACAATTCTGAAGAAACTAGCCCTTAACAGCTCCGCTGTAAAAAACCGAGACAAGTTTATTCGGTTATTAACGTTATGGAGTTATTTTAAGTATAGTATTTAGCGAAAGTAGAAAAACCGTTTCGTGGCCCTTTTAAAAGCGCCCGCTGCTCTCGGAGTCAAATTTCTGTGGCCTTTCAGGAGGCGTGAAGAGCGCGCAGGGAGAGCTTTGATCGGCGCTCAGGGTGTGCGCAAGTGCGTGCCTGTAGCTTCAAGGCACAGGATCACAAATTTATTCCCCGAAAATCCAGACGAGGCGAGGAACGCCAGAGAACCCAGCTCTGACTGGAATGATTAGTGAATAGACGCAAAGTCACGCGGAGAGCAAGTTTGTCTGTTTCTTGCAGAGGGGTGGCGATGATGTAACAACACTGAGCCCTTAATGGCTGATTAAAAAAAAAATAGTTGATAGACCTTGAGGCATTTAACATTGAGGTCTATCCAGTATCCTTTCAATCAAAGTCAATCAGAGCTCGGCGTCATTTTGACGTCACCGCAACTCCTGCGCAAGGAGCAGACGACTTGTTCTCCACATAGCTGCCTTTGTCTCTACTCACGGTTCAAACGCGTTCGAATGCGAACGCCGAAATCCGGACGCCAAAGTCTGGCGCTCGAACACGTTCGAAGAGTGAGTAGAGAGGACAAACGAGGCAGCTAGCTTGGCGTCTACTACCCACTACTCATTCCAGCCAGAGCTCGGCTCCCTGCCATACCCACTCCCTCTCGTTTTCTCCTCTCTCTCTGTCTCTCTCTCTCTGTTTCTACTCGTATAGCCTTGGTTTCGCTCGCACAGTAAGGCAATGTGACTATTATAACCGGCATATTAACGTCTGGAAACTAAAATTCAGAAAGAATATGGGACGCTGAATCAATACAACCATCAACTTTTTGGGGCATCAACGCCTCGGCGCATGCACTAAAATGAGAATTTCAACTGAGCAACAACAAACATCGCAATGTTCTCCGGGAATATTGTAGATGGCAATCATAGAATATCAATAAGCAGTATATTTAAGCTTTTAGACGCGTACATTTTTTATTCCGCGGCTTTAAATTTTTTTTATTGAATACTATCGGCCATATTTACAAAATTGTCAATTTCTGCTTCTTTCTTCTTTGACAAATTATCATAATGTTTTCTAGGTCTGTAAGAGACCGGTCCCCAGAAACGTTCGGCGCATCGCATGTGTAACGCCGCCATAACTTTAGTTCACAGGAGTCAGACGGCGGTGCACGAGAAGGCTCGTGCCTTCTCGTGCTCTACACTCGCAAAGCTACAGCGAGATCGCTGCACGTGCTGAAGCAATAAAGTTCCCTCGATGCGTTGCACCAGCGGTACCGTAGTCAAACTGGCTGGTGATATCGGTATATTGCCTGGGTATCATAGAACGCAAATCAAATAGAATTATGATAGTTCCCTAGACTTTTTATTCCGCGGAATGTCCACGAAAGTTGGCCATGCACCTAGAAGAGGAGGACTCCCCCCCCTAATCGACATCACACTATGCTCCGTTTCACCTTATGTTGTACCGCAGAGAAGGCTAGGAGCGCGAGATCATAGCGTTGGGAGCTGCTTTGAACGCACGAGAGCTTGTGCCGCCGAGATGTGCCCTAGAACAAGGAGCTCGCGCTTGTAGCCTTTCCTGCTGTACATCATAAGGTGAAACAGAGTATAGTGGATACACGCAGCGACTTATAGTTGGCGTCAGCGTTACATTACGGAAACGTGTACGTAGTTGGAAGGGGGGAAAAACAATAAAGAAAAAAAGTGCGTCGCTTTCCGTACCTGCGAGTAATACGAAAAAATATCATAAGCATCACTGGTGTTCCGAACGTCGGGCCAATCAAAATGATCATGTACTGCGCCGATGACATAGGTGTCACCTGAAAAAAAAATACAACATTAATATAAATTATAATATGATGAAAGACGGCAGGTTTTCAATAAAAATTCGATACAAAGGAATGTTGCCGAGTGTTTATGAAGAATCTAATGAGCTGGTAATGATTTCATGCACTGTAGGAACTACTTTTTTTTTTTGCGGTAAACTTAATTATTGGGGTAAAGGGAGGAAAGGCGGCAAATGTGAAACCTTAAAAAAAACAAAAAAATTTACGACCTGGAAAACAAAAACCAAAAAGCGAGAGAAGTGATAACAGATCATGACTTTTTATAAGCTCACATCATGCACACGGTACCAACTGACAGACTCCTTCGATCGCGACTTTTTGCGCTTTTTAATACACGTTTAATCTGACAAATTCTCGAGATTCTCGTTCCTCGTTTTCTTATGTGCTGCGTCCTTATACGCCTTCCTTTGTGTGCAAAATAAATCCCTCTCAAACGTTTTCTTCCCCTTCATAGGGCACTTGTCTTCCTAACCCATGTGTCAGAACGCCCGTTTTTTTTTAAAACTGAGTTCCGGTAGGGCTTCTCGCTTATCCTCTTTTTAGCGCAGACGTCATTCCCAGGCAAGCCAGTATCTGGCTTGCCTGGGAATGATATCATCACTTCGCTCTACCGGCCCTATTGATTTCCCGCCTTGTACGGAGATCCTCGAAAGGAATAGGATATTGCCACCGTTCCCTTCGGCGAAGACAATAGCGGGAAGGAGAATTAAGCGTGGCTTACCCAGCCGCTGATGCTGCCGGTGCTCGAGAGCCACCGAGAACGGGTACACAATCATCGAAGGTAGGAGGACTGCTTGGAGGCTGTCACGTGACGGGTAGGACTGCAGCCCGTACTCCGACACGAACCTAGTGACGGGGAAGTCGCCCGCGTTCCACCAGTCGATGCCGTACGAATAAAAATGCACTAAGAAACAAAACAAAAAAAAAAGTAAGAACAATGTAGCAGACTCCTCTTTTTAAAGCACGAAATCAAAGTTGGTTTTAATTTAATAATGTACAGACAACTGGAAGCCTCTTTCTTTAAATAGTGACAATCGTGTTTCCGCTCTAGCAATTTGACCAATGCAATATGATACTAATAACTGATTACCTTTAACGTGCATTCCCAGAAGCATCTTCATGCATAGTATACATGAAGGTGCTTCTGTATGTGTACAAAATACTGTGCATCTTGTAATGTACTCCGAAAGCCAATAACTGTTAAAATAATCTGGTTAGCTAATGAGGAGATTGAAAGCTATTGCACTCCAAGGGTGGTGTGGTCTCAGTTGCAGGAAAGTGTGGACGTTAATACTTTAACCTTCGACACTGAAGTGTGCTATTTCAAATGGGAGAAATCGTCGCTGTCGTGTTAGTAAGCTACGTCATGCAGTAAACTGACAACCATCATGACTTCCCAAATTCGTCGGTTTAAGAATATTCGGGTAAGAGGGGTTTCTAATTTACAATACCTGGTGTAACCATTTATGCTTGCAGTTCCCTGTTTTATGCCCACTATGAAACATAGATACGTTCGATGATTGCCACCAGTTCCCTGGCTTTCCACACAATATTGTCCCGCTTGGATCGGCAAAAAATGTCCTTTTTGGGATTATGTATTTGAATACTACGAAACCATTGCTCACTGACCGTCTCCGGAAGAGAAACTGTTGGGGTTAGCGGAGATCCAGTGGCTCAGCTGCGACAGCTTTCCATTGCTGGGACTCGATGCCAGATAGGGCCGTGAGCTGTCCTCAGCTTCTACGATCGTCTTGATAGTTTCGATGTAAAGCTTTCGATAGTCCTCCCTGTATCTCGTAAGATGCAAAGCCATGCCTGGCCTGCAAAAAAAAAAAAAAAAAAAAAAATTAAGCAAGTGCTCAGTACAACCGGAGGTGTATTGTGTCCGTATACATTTTTAATCGAGCTCTGCTTGTTGCGCAAATAGGAAGAAATATTCGCAGCACTGAAAAGAACAAGAACGATAAACTGACAACAACAACAGACGATCGCAAACAACAACAAACTATCACTAACAACAACCACAACGATTGGGGCTCGGTGCTTCTATGCTTGATGTTCACAACTGCCTAGAAAGCTCGGGGCGTGGTTTCCAAGTTTCTATCTTCCGTTGGCACGTTTCAGAAAAAAGATAGGGCTATAATGAAACCTCATCGGCTTCGTGACGCTAGTGTGAAGGGCGGTGGCTGATGTTTGATATTATTTATTGTTTTGTGATAATGAGATATCTGTTTTCGGTTGGAATATCAAACAACGTAGAGGCTATCAGCACCACAGCACGCGTGTGGCACGTGAGATTACGCGGAGTATTTTCGCCACATGGAAACAACAGGACGAATGGATTTTAGGCCCGCCCTTTGTACTGGGGGTCATTCCGGGGGTAAGCACGCGAGCAAGCGTATCGTTCGCTTTCTTAATGAACCTCAATGAATGCGTTCCCAAGAAATTAGATACCCGGTTTATTTAAATTGCGTCTTAAAAACAAAATCTATCGCTTTTTGTGCCAGTAATTTGTCAGTTGGTCGAAAAAATCAACAAACTTATCTTATGCAACGCGTAAAATATTTCTTCCAAATAATTTGTTTTGTCAAGTCTAAAAGGGACCAAGGATATTTTCTATTTTAATAAATATCGGTGAGATGTAATCACTGGCATTCATAATACATGACATGTAATTCTCTTTAGCTAACTGTAAAAAAAAAAGAACAACACCTAAAGAACATTGTTGTGCCAGAAGAACAAGCTGCACTTGTTAGCTTTCTTCATCAGAACCATGTGGCGGCTATGCGTCAATAAACTGAGGGAGAGGGGGATGACAAGTACACGCGGGAACGTCCGAACGCGGTGCTCTGGTTGGAATGATTAGTAGGTAGATCATTGTATAGTTAAAGATGACGACTTTCGTCGTCTCGCGAATGGTTCCTAATGGCTTTGATACACTATAGTTAACCTGTGTAACCAGTGTCCATTAATCTGTTAGGGTTAGTCAGGTTCCCTGGTTATGCGCTGTTACTGGTGACGCACTGATGAAACAGCTTACCACCAGAAGGAAGCAATTGCTTCTTCGTTTTCGTTGTTACCCGCCCAGAGTAGGACAGACGGATGATGTTGCAGTCGACGAACCTGAAGCATAAAATCGGTTAAGTACGTATTTGCGAACTTCCCACATTATATGCATTCTACTTGCGTCTACATTCATGCAGAATACCCAATGAGCCCAAATCGGGAAATGACAAAATCTAAAAAAAGAAAAGGATAAATGGAAGTTTGCGAGGAGACAGCTAACCTGATGTGAGCGTGTGATGCATTTGGCTCAGTATTGCATTCTCGAGCTTATCTTTAGGTGAACATATTTTCCGGTGATGATATTTTCCAGATCGCAATCATTCTCTCACTGAGTGCTCAACAATGATGAAGACAGGTGTACATTTCTTCAGGGCGCATTTTTAAATGTTGTTAAATATCTGTATAGAGTTCAAGAACCATTCTAAACATGATCAAACACGATTCACGTTGCGCATTTTTATAGTCTTATGTAAAAAAACAAGAACAAGAAATTCTTGGCATTTGCCGTATTCTTTAAATGAACTGCTGCGACAGATCAGGGCGCTGCGAAATGTTGCCGCGCATAGACAAACCACAATCACACGGAGCACAGACATTCTCTCATTTAATTTAGCGGAAAGATGTTCCTTTAAAAGTTAACGAAAAAAAAGTCAGATATAAATTTACCAGGAAGGTTTGCTTTTTCCCAGCCATATTTAGCGAGCGTGGTGGCGGGGACCTCCACAAGCATAGCCTCCTCTATACTCACAAAGCCTGGCAGTTCGACGACGGAGCCATAAAGTGCCCGGTCGTAGATTTGGAGCGCGAAGATCTGGTATCACAGATCATTTCTCGGGGAACCTGGCCGTCAGTGCACAGCTTTTGCAGCGGCGAGGAAAGAAGCGGTAACGCAAGGAGCGCAAGGAGCACCAGCGGACATTCCATCGCTCGGGAGAAGCGTGTTCTGGCGTCCCGCCGCAGCGGGGCGCCCGTCACCTGGCTCTGTGGCTCCCCTCTCATCCGTTGTCTGCCGCTCTAGCTTTTCAATTTCGGCAGCCGCGTCTTGTGACGATCTTCCAGGCTTTGTCAGTATAGAGGAGGCCATGGCACAACGCATTTCCAAGCTAAATTTAACAGGGAGAAATTCCCCACTTAATAGAACGTGCTGACTTTTCAACTTAATATAACTGGGAAATTTATCTTCGTAACGTCAGGTGACACAATGACGTGACGGCGTCCCAAGCGCTTTATAAAAAAAGGTAGAGGTAAAAAGAAAATATTTGGCGTAGAACAGCAGCCGTCCGAGAAGTGCCATGGCCACGTGTTCCAGCGCAGGTCGCACTCTGGATAGGTTCGTAAATTGCGGCAGATTGTTCTCCGTGTGCTTCACAAAATAATTGACGAGCCAACAATAAAGGTTTTCCAATCCAATGACGAGCGGATTGGTACAGTTAAATCGTTTCCCCTGCCCTGACTGGAGAGATGCCTTCATCTCCTCGGGAGTGCTGCCGAGTAGAACACGTGTTCTCACCTGCTGGCGAACTTCGTCGGCGACGTCATGGAGAAAATGGGGGTCGACCGGATACAGGCTGACAGCGAACATCATGTCTTGCCAGATGAGGATCCCAAGCTTGTCGGCCAAGTCATAGAAAACGTCGCTTTCGTACCTGCCCCCGCCCCAGACGCGCAGCATATTCATGTTCGCATCCTGCAAAGGGAGCAAAAAAGAAGCCACACATAAATCGATTACGAGCGTAAGCATAAAGACTTATTCACACGGAAGCATTTGCTTACCTTTTATTACGTTACGTGTTGAGTTAAGGTTCATTCACACAGAAGAGTTTGCTTACGTTTTCTTACGTTACATTGGAAGTCAGCTCAACATCGTGCCTCGAATGTAGCGTGCAAGGCTACTCAGCTTAAACTGATTGCAAAACTTAAAAGACCACTAAAAAAAAGAAAAACTTCATTTTTGTATTAGTCTGGTTGGGACACGCGTGCCAACATAAGAATTTTTCGCTAAACTTTTCTAGAGCAATATTGACGGTGCGAGACGCGATTTAATTGGAAGTTACGAGCTCCTTTCCACTTGTTTTCTTTCGGCATTTCGGGCGCGTGGAGGAGAGGTGGATCGGCTTGGCCATCACGTTGAAGTGGAGAAAGTGCATGACCATCTCGTTGAAGTGGAAACAGTGTGACACCAGTCGGTGACGTCATGGACTTGCGCGCAAAATTTTAAATATTCTTCGCGCCGTCAACATTGCTGTAAAAATGTTTTCTGTTTTCGCGTGAACTTTATTTCTTGGCACGCGTGTCCCAACCAAACTGTTATTTTTTTTCTTCTTTTTAGTGCTTCTTTAATGTGAAGCACAGATGACCCGTAAGCGGATGTAAGCTTCCGTAACATGACAGTTTAAACAGCAAACACTGCTGTTTAAACTGGCCTTTAAGGGGTATTCATATGAGGGAGAAATCCCGGGGAATTCTGCCCGGCGCGCGCACATTACGAGAAGAAAACGCGATACTTTTGTACATCGAAAAGCCTGACGTTTTCTTCACGGGATGCGCGTGTTATGAAGAAATGTCCCGAGATTTCTCCCTCGTGTGAATACCCCTTAAAGGCCCATTCATAAATTAGCATTCGACTATTAGCAGATGTAAATTTTCGTAACATAAAGAAACGTAAACAATGCTGCTGTGTAAACCGACCTTAAAGGCGCTTTTATACAGTAGCATTTGATTATTAAGAGATATAAGTTTCCGTGACATAACACAATGTAAAGAACGCTGCTGTGTTAAGCGGCCTTAAAGACAATATATCAAGTAGCATTTAATTATTAGCAGACGTATGTTTCCGTAACATGAAGCAACGTAAGCAATGCCGCTGTGTTGTGTAAACCGACCTTAAAGGCCCATTCATAAAGTAGCATTCGTCTTATAGCAGATGTAAGTTTTTGTAACACAAAGCAACGTAAGCAATACTGCTCTGTAAACCGACCTTAAAGGCCCATTCTTAAAGTTGCATTCGACTATTAGCAGATGTAAGTTTTCGTAACATAAAGCAACGTAAGCAATGCTGCTCTGTCAACCGACCTTAAAGGCCCATTCTTAAAGTAGCATTCGACTATTAGCAGATGTAAGCTTCCGTAACATAAAGCAACGTAGGCAATGCTGCTGTGTAAACCGACCTTAAAGGCGCATTCATAAAGTAGCAATTGACTATGAGGAGATGTAAGTTTCCGTAACGTAACGCAACGTAAGCAACGCTGCTGTGTGAACTGGCCTTAAAGACCCATTCATAAAATAGCATTTGACTTTTAGCAGATGTCAAATGCTGTTTGACATCTGCTAATAGTCCCTCCCTCCGAGCGGCGTCGCCGTCACCTCACGAGGGTCACGTGATCTCACGGGGGTCACGTGACGTCACCGTGGTCACATGACCCATAGAGGTCACGTGACGATGACGTCATCAGTGACGATGACATGCGAATGCCGATGACGTCATCAGTGACGTCACTGATGACGTCATCAGTGACGATGCCGATGCGGATGCCGATGACGTCGTTAGTGACGTCACGCGTCCCATAATGCACCGCGCGGTTACGCCGACGGCGACGCCGACGCCGCTCAAGCTGGAAACGGGCGCCTAAGAGCTGCCCTCTAAAACGTGCAAGGCATGTACAACTATGCGAAAAACAGAGATCAAGAAGACAACGCTGAGGAGGCCTTGTCTTGTTGATCTCCTAGCGGAGGTACACGCTGCTACTGAGCATGTGCACCGATACCTTTGTCTGCAGAATCCCAGGGATCATTTCCGGTGGCTGTAAGCTAGCGAAATGGAGGGTGTTTCGCTGCCTTGTCAGCTTACTGGTGAACGAAATGCACCCACACTTTTCTCTTTACACATTATTTTATTTTTATACGGACTACCATAATCCGGGTGTATGAGAAATGGAAAGTAGTGTTGCAGAACATTTTTAAAAACATAACAATTGTTTCTATTGTTTTCTTGATAAGTGTACTTGGAAAGTAATCTGAGAGCAATTTATAACGTAACGAGTAAAGTAATCCGTAACATCTCAGCGAAAGTAATTTGTAACGGTAATCCATTACAGTTGAGTCTAGGTGATTTGCAACAGTAATTCATTACATTTCTTAAGTAACGGGCACAAGTCTGCATGCTACATGTGGAACACGGGTGTCTCGGTGGCTCCGGGTCGTGACTCTACGCAAGTCTTCCCAACGTAGTCGGACGTAGTCAAACGGTGCTGTGCGAATGGGCTTGAAAGAAACTCAATTCCCAAGGCGGTCTACTTCACCATGTTGTCGAACCCATGGCCAGGTGGCCGGCGGTCGCCACAAACAAGGAGGTACAGCGCTATTGATTTTTATAACCATATTTGATCTGTTTTGGGTTTTAAGCACGCATGCATGCGCAGTAGAAGGTTTGCTGCCTGCCAGTCTAGTATTTGGTCATCGTTGATACCGAGCACTCTGGTTGCAGGGAAGTATAAATATGACACTCTTCCCTGAAGTTTCCTACTTTCATTGAGTGGTGAGCCACAATACGGAATACCGACACATCAGTTCAACGATAAGATCATTGGAGATCCAAACCGGAAACATGCCTGTTTGATGCATCCATCTGCGTGCATTTTCCTTCTGTCAGCACTTTTTGTGACCTACCTAACAAAATAATTACAATAGTAGCAAAAAAAAAACAAAAAAAAAACTCTCTGCCTTTCAACTTTGATGAAGAAGGAAAACCAGCGAAGCTGTACTACGGCGGGAAATAAGTATTTATAAATGTAAGGATTAAGGGTGTGATTGGGTAATTGGTTATTTGAACGATTAAAGCATCAGATACACACACACAAACACACACACACACACACACACATATATATATATATATATATGGGTGGTTTCATCTCAAATCGTGCAGGCAAAAAGGGTCGAATTTTTAATTTCGATGAAAAAAATATATGTTATGGCGCCGTTTCTAAAACCGCAGTCGACACAAACCGCAAGTTCGTCGGATTTTTTGTTCTCGACTTATGAATTTTTAAAGAGGCCGCGGCGAAAAGCAGTGTTTTTCACACCCGTCGTGGGTCGGATGTTTCGCTTGATCTCCCGCCATGGATTTTCAGTCCACATTATATTATCTTTTTTGAAGCACTCTGTGGACACATTTAAAAGGCTCCAATACCATGAAATAATTTTAGGCCTTTTGCTTTTTTTCTGTAAAAATGTCAAAAACGCCTCCTCGGTCAATTGTTGACGAACTTTGACGATTAATTACTGGCGATCTACTTGGGTTACACTGATATTTTTTATGTCCACGGAGAAACCAAAACACGCTCTTTATATTTATTATAAAATGCTTTGGCTGTATAAAATATTCTTTGCGGTACGTTTACGTTAATATTATGCAAAAACCAAAAAGTACCATTTTTTAAATTGATTTTCTCAAAAAACCCATTTTTTATTTTTTTCATTTTTTGTTCAAATGTAGATATGATAGTTGTCTACACGAAAATCAAGCCTAGAAAGTGTATATTTTGTTTTCATGTTTTATATTTAGGCCTCAATATCGGAAAAAGACGTCTTTGTTTTGCAAGACCTAAGTCAGACATAGCGACCCATGCGTCTCTATGAATTGTGAAAAAGTTTTCTTGAATTTTCTTCTGCATTTTGTAATCAATTATAAACGGATTTTGTGGTATTGAATATTTATGTATGTTTTGATAAGAGCGGGAACCATGAGATACATATCTAACCAAATCAGCAGGCCTAGTAGACTTTCAATAACCAAAAGGCACAGACGTTGTATTGTTTCGATTTATAAACCTTTCAAAGTAAACTAGCACGACTAGCTATTAGCTGTCATATTACTAAGACAAAGAAAGTCACCACATCGTCGATATATTATATACAATTCTTTACGAAACCAAACACTGGGGCTTGTTCACCGCACATCGCACAGGTCACCAGGGAATGTCCTTTCACTTCCGTAATACACAAAAGTGGTGACACAGAAACGGTCCGAAACACACAGAGAGTGTGTCATAGAGAGGGTTAGGAAATAAAAATAAATAAATAGGAATTAAGTTGCCCAACTCCGATCTTAACGAAAATTACGTTAAAAAAAATAATAAAGTATTTTGGTTCGAGCGGTGGCAAGGCGATAGGTCCACGCCTGGTGGAGAGTCAGACAAAGAAGTGGACGGCACGTAAAGGTAAAACAAACAAAAAAATCAATAATTTAATAAAGACGGGAAAACTCAGCCGCACATGGCAAGAACAAAAACCAACTCCCCCGGGCATTCCCTAAACGGGACGCAACCAAATGCGTGCGAACACGCTCTCTACATCACCGCCAGGCCGCTACGCCATGGCGAAATAAACCCAACAACTGAACAGTGCTAACAAACAGTTAGTAAAAAAACATTGAAAAAAAAAAAAAAAACGTTAAGAAAAAACCGCACCCGAGAAACAAAGTTCAGCGGGGCGAAGAAACACACACGAGTCGGCCCCACGACATTGAAGTCTCGCAGGATGACGGCGTCCAGATGATGCTCGAATCTGTTCCTCCCTCTATTACGCACATCCACGACGGCTGTGCGGAACAGTGGCTGTACGAAAGAAAGTGAAGAATAGATTCGAGCAGGCGATGCGCGAGAAGGTAACCGAGACTATGCTTCAAGCTTCATATCGGGAGGGGAGCTTTCGAGGTAGTTTCTGCAGTTACTCAAACTTTCTCTTTCCCCTTCCCTTTTTCAAAAGAACACGTCAGCCGGCGCTAACGTATTATCTCGGGAGAAGCCCACTCTTCACAAACGGTTATAGTTGACAAGGAGGCTGACTTCGACCCAACTAGTCTCCGGGCAGAATACAAACACAAGTATATTTACCAACACGCTCGTTTTAATGTCAGTCTCCGGGCTTTGCTGTTTCCAAAAGAGATAACCCTTTATAAGGACAGAACGAGCGGGTCGGTGGGGACAATTAAACTTAAACACTCCCTTTTCGTTTTCTTCCTCAAGTTTAATAGATAACCCTTCGGTGCTATCGGATCTCCCTGGAGAGAGAGAGAGAGAGCACGGCCGTTTCAAGGTAAGGATAGGGCGCTCGAAGCTAGGGCAAACAGGCGGTATCGTTTCACGCATGCACGGATGGCTGGTTTCAAAATTCCCCACATCCCTAACGAAACCGGCCCATCTTCGTGTGTGCGTCTGCGGGATTTCTGTCCCGCGCCGCCGGTTTTAGCACGCACGCGGCGTTGTTTTGGCTGGCAGAACAGTTGTTGACCGTCGACATTGTAAGGCCGTGGTGTCCTCATCCTTTCAGGCAACGATTCCTTTGCTTTCCCTTGTGCAATACTCTGACAGACTCCTCCTGGGTGGCTGTCACTGTTCGCCGCGTCAACGACACAATCGTACCATTTCACTCCTCGTGACACAGGGTGCGCTGCTCGCTTTACTGTCACGGGCCGTCCCATCTAACACAACGAGCGCGAAAGGTCGTGGTCATCTGCTGGCTCCGAAAGGGCGGGACGTTCTTGCAGGCCAATGAGGGCCCCGAATCAATACGACGTCTGCCGACTCGTACACGTTAAAAGGTTACGACACCTGCTGGTCTGTTAAGAAGTGTTGCTTTCTCTTTTTGGAACTCCTCCGATGTAGCTTGCAGCCTATAATAATATTTAAATAATCAATAAATATATCGTGGTGGAAATACTGTATTTCATTTTTATGTGGGAACGTTGAAAAAAAGAAAAAAAATATTTCCAAGCTTGTGAAGACGCGCAATTCGCAAGTCCATTTCGAGCCGTAAAAACACGTTTTTGTACGATATTAATGCTTAAATGTAGAACATACAAACAAAATATACACTTTCTAGGCTTGATTTTCGTGTAGACAACTATCATATCTACATTTGAACAAAAAATAAAAAAAAATAAAAAATGTTTTTTTTGAGAAAATCAATTTCAAAAATGGTACTTTTTGGTTTTTGCATAATATTAACGTAAACGTACCGCAAAGGATATTTTACACAGCCAAGGCATTTTATAATAAATATAAAGAGCGTGGTTTGGGCTCTCTGTGGACATAAAAAATATCGGTGTAACCCAAGTAGGTCGCCAGTAATTAATTGTCAAAATTCGTCAACAATTGACCGAGGGGGCGTTTTTGACATTTTTACAGAAAAAAAGCAAAAGGCCTAAAATTATTTCATGGTATTGGAGCCTTTTAAATGTGTCCACAGAGTGCTTCAAAAAAGATAATATAATGTGGACTTAAAATCCATGGTGGGAGATCAAGCAAAACATCCGACCCACGACGGGTGTGAAAAACACTGCTTTTCGCCGCGGCCTCTTTAAAAATTCATAAGTCGAGAACAAAAAATCCGACGAACTTGCGGTTTGTGTCGACTGCGGTTTTAGAAACGGCGCCATAACATATATTTTTTTCACCGAAATTAAAAATTCGACCCTTTTTGCCTGCACGATTTGAGATGAAACCACCCATATATATATATATATATATATATATATATATATATATATATATATATATATATATATATATATATATATATATATATATATATATATATATATATATATATATATATATATATATATATATATATACGAGGTTGTTATTTATTTCCTAACCACAGTGACCATGGTCTTGTGTACACCCCCATAGGGTGTACGCTGACGGAAGGCACGTTCTTCGTGAAGACGAGGTCTATACACGTCCGATGCCTGGTCGTGAGCACCTTATAGGTTCGTTCACACACGCAAGCCCGAAGTGCTGGAGCATACGCGAAATGAACCACTTTCCCTCCTGGCGCGCAGTGTCAACGTTAAAGTCACCCGTCACTACGGCAGAAGTGTCGTCGCCGAGCATGACCCAGCCGATGACATCCATCATGAACGCTTCAATGTCTCTCTTGGGCGTTGAGGGGGACGTACACGACGGCGGCACCGGACCATTGCGCACCTTGACGGAAAGGCTGGAAAGGTTGCCGCCATCTACGAGCGACAGCGGCAACCAAATTGGTTGTCTGGTTGCCGCCGTCGCTCATAGATGGTGGTAGCTGTCCAGAGTTTTGTGTCGACATTTGTTAGGTACCGGACACGAAACAGGAGAAACTAGCCCTTAACAGCTCCGCTGTGAAAACAACCGTGAACGTTCAAGTGGTATTACCTTGGCTGAGCGCAGGAGGTGCTCGATGTAGTCAGGCGTGATGCGTTCCGGGAAACTGTCTGCTGGAATCCAGTTGCTTCCTTTGGCATAGATTGGCACGTCGTTGATCTTGAAGTAGAAGTCCAAGTTTGTGTTGGATTTACTTCCGGACGCTGATCCGAAATAAATACAGAAGCGTATTAAAAAGCTGGTCTATAACACGTATGTGTTACTTAAAAAATATATATATATATAACAAGATAGCAAAAGAAACGATCCAGTTGGGCACTCACGTGTCACAACGACATCCTGCACCAGTTCGACTGTTCGAAAACCAATCTTCATTTGTTTCGAGAATTCTTCTCCGTTTACGGAAACTGACACGTCCAAAAGGTACAATTTTTGTGCTCCGTAACCATTCGGCCACCACTTTTCAATTTGAATTTTCTGGAAAGTAAAAACCAGGAAATACCAAAGTCAGATGAATGCAAATAGTCAGGCCGTTTATGCGGGTCACTGACAAAATGAGAACGGCTGGGAGGTCTTTCAGTTGTCCCGCCCTTCCAGCGCGAGCTTCCTACCTTCGGTAAAATGTTCGCGTATGGTAAGCTTGAAGCGTGCACTCGCAGCTCAAGCACGGTGGAAGGCTACGAGCGCATACTGGAGGCATCTGAAAGAGACACCCTGCTTTCCTCCTCTTTGTGGTAAACAGCATCTCCGTTCAATTTAAAGAATTTCAGGATGATCAGTGATTTCGCATTAAAAGCATTAATAAGCGACACTACGTCATTTGCTTCGCGAAAGATGGAATATACCGGATGTTCCATTTTAATTCAAACAGATTTATTACAAAACATTCTTAAAAGGTGCACTAAAACGATTTGTGCGGGTAAGAATTATACGCCCAGGGGGGACGTTATGTGGGTGGCTAATCTTTGCGATAAGTCGGCTAATTAATTAAAATTTGTGAATTACCTTTTAATTAGTGAAAATAGACATATGGTTCCAATTAGAAACTTACTGAGCATCATCAAATAACACTTAATCAACTCTTTTTAGAACAGCCTGAAGTTTGTGGGAAACTCGGCGGCGCACCAAAGTTACCACTGGTGCAGCAGGTGCAAAGCTAGCAGTGGCAAAACGCGGATGATTAGATTATCATCGCGTTCCGCCACTGCTACTTTTACCGCCCATTCTCAACTGTTTTAACAAGCTCCAGCTCGCCTGCGCCTTCACTGTGGTTTTGTTAATCGTAACTGCAGCAGTTGGTAGTAACCTTTTGATGTGAATCTTCGTTTTCTTCGCCGTCGTCATCAACACTACTGATTGAGGCTTTCGCGGTCCTAGACAAGTTGGAACGTCGGTTGGCGGAACTGGAAGTCGGTAAGGCCTTTTTTGGCATACGCCTGTCATGGCTTGTCATAAGTGTGTACGATGGTGGCTGCAGAGTTTGAAGGTAAGAAAACAACAAAGGAAAACAATTTTTGTTTGTGTGTGCGTGCTGGTTGGTGACGACCTTGGTTTCAATGTGTATATGAGAGGCTTACTGAATAAACGTAGTAGCTGACATTGAGACGTCGTCTGACTGATTTTTTCCCCTGTATCTTGTATTTTGGTTGTTTCAAGATTTTCTCGTCCAGTCTCAGGTGTTTTAACAAAACAGTAAACTTATAGCACATCACCTGCGCCCTCACTGTGTTTTTGTTAAAAGGACCTTTCTCGTTAGGTTTGTGTCCATTCAATGCGGTGTTTTATCAAAAACAATTTATGCACTACTCCAGATGCGCTTGCGTTGCCTGACTCGAAAACATCGCCTGCTATCGAAGATTAGTGTCTGCTGTGCCCTCCTAAGCCGTCCTGCCTCTTACCTGCCTCAATGTGTCGGCCGTTGCGCCAATTAGACACCTTTTGTTGGCAGACAGACGCGGTAGGTAGCGAAGTAGCAAAGTCAGGCTCCTGGTTTATTACTTCTTATTCAGGTAAGCTAATTTTGTGATATTTTTATATCCAGGCTTCGTCATCTTTCGCCACTGCAGTACATAATCTTAGCTCGACACGCTAAGAAGTCGACTCATGCGGTCCCTTGAAACAGCCAACGACCCCTTTGACTTACGTCGTATAAACGACGTATGACATATACAAAGCAAAATTATTCGGAAAGAAAAAGAACGCCCTTATATTGCTTTGAAAACCTAAGGAAAGCCTACGTACGAAGAAAAAGAAATTATGCACGTCGCCATTCGCAGTAGGCACGACACGAAGTTGTTCGGCTTCCTTCAGAAGTATCCCATTTTCTTCCTTCCGGAGTCTCTCCCTTCATTCTCTTCCACCCGGGACTTAGTTCGACCGAGCCGCAATTCGAGGAAATCCGTGCGCATTTTTTTGTGTAAATTTAGTCCGACTTTTTTTTTCTCCCGTGACTTAGTTTGAATTGAATATATATTTGCGCATTTATTGACCGCCTTAGTTGTGCGTATTGCTGTTGAACGAGTGGCGGCAGCAAACTTCTATCGTGTTCAGCTTCCACTGATATGGTTGTCGCTTTTGGCAGATGCTAACAATACAGTATTTGGTTGCCTACGCTCTCCCAAATGAAAAACTTGGGAGAATATTCTTTATAGTCTAAACAGCCTCCGCAGTGCACCCTTTTTTTAGCAACGTTTTTCAATATTTTGAAATTAAAATTGTTTTTCTTTCATTACACAGCAATATAGTATATTTCATGACCATGATCAATATTGGTTAAATAGAAATGTAGCTTCTAAAACGTCGAAGTTTTTTAATATTGGTGTTTTACCTGTCACAAAATTTGATAAAAATATCATCATCTGATGGCGATATATACATAAAAAATGTTTTTACGCAATACTAGTTTTCTTTTTTTTTTTCTCTCTTTTACTCGTGGAACATTTTTTAATTAAACAGTACTTAGAAGCAACGAGATTTGAATAGGAACCCTTTTCTTTTCATGAGCAAAGCATTTGAATAAGCGACGTTCTATACAGCCATTTCCACCATAGGACCTTGGGAAGCCAATGAGTTGGTGTTTACGGAACATCTTTTCGGCGTTTGAAGGGAATCAAGAACTGGCTTCTTTTATTTTTTTTTGTCAGTTCCTTTTTAGAACCGATAAGTTTTGGCTACCCTTCCATCTCATTGTGTCAGACCTCAACCAATAATAACACTCAAAAACAAATTGTGAAGACGCCCTGATCTTCTAAAGCTGCTCTTGAATACGGGCGCTTAGGCAGTCTGACAGAACACCGAGAAACTACACACCAGCAAAGAACTCTACAGCGCTCACTCGAGAGATAGGAACCACAAATCGGATCTTGCTATGTTTCTTGTCCGATGGCAGAAACGTCAAGGCATCCTGGCCCAGAGTGACACCGTCCAGACTGATCATGTAGGCGCCGTCGAGGGACTGGTCTGACGCCGATTCGTAGAAGGCATCCAACTCCAGGGTCCAATGCTCTGTGCCGTCGGACTCTTCTATAATTTCAGGAGAAAAGAAAAACAAGTTGTCTGCATAAAGAGCAAAATGAAAGGGCCTTTAAAATGCTAAATTAAAGCTGGGGCATCGAAGGCTATGGCGCTGGCATCAAATATTTTTTTAACGTTCTCATTATTATTGGCAAAAATATATAAAAGAGGTTATTCAATCTCTTAGCTTATATTTTGTATTACTAAGGTGTCTGATGCTTAAAGGGAGAGGTGTCATGATGCTTATACGCGATAATTATTTAACCAATACAATTAGCGTATCGATTAGTCAGGCAGAACTGTTGGTTGTAGAAGAACATGGCCCAGAGGCATCATTCACGGCATGTGCGGTCTATCGACTTCCAGACTTAATATTTGGTTATTTCTTGTAGAGCTTTATGAATTGTTACATGACTCGAGCTGAACTTGTGTAAGTGTTCAATATTAGCCGGAGATTTCAACATTGACGTGAAAACGGCAACAAAATATAGCGTCGGAAATTTTCTCGATATATTTGCAGGTTATGGTATCGAAAACATGATTGCGGACTTTGCTAGAAAGGAACATTTTGGTAATCAGATAGCAAAAACTCGGACTGATCATATCTTGGTTACTTACAAAAAGGTACCTCGCACGATTATCGTCTATTTATAAACATTATTACAGTCCCTCGCCTTTTAGTGACTCATTCCTATTACCGGCTCACCATATACTGTCCCGCTTAGATCACCCTTTCAAAATTAACCCTATATTTGTACGAACCAACATGTCAAAAAACTCTCCACTATTCCTCGCTATATGGGACTGGAACAGCTTCCCCAGAGAAATTGCCTCCAATAGTGACTATCAGTCTTTCGTCTCCACTCTAAATATGTTAAACCTTAAATGGTCTTGTATCCCTAGAATATTTGTTTTTGTCAGTGTCTTGTTTTTGATGCACATGTTTCAATTGTGCGCCATCTACTTTATATCTTGTGTTTGAAGGCCGAACTTGCGCCAAATGCTTGTACCTTCAATTTATGCTTTTTACCTTTTTTTTTTTTTGTCCTTGTCTCTTTTTTGTTGCTACTTGGTTCAGTTGTACGAATCTTTGTATCACGTTCCCCTTTTCTAATGCCCGAAAGAACCTTTAAGGTGAAAAAAAGAATAAAAAAAATTAACAACTTGTCCGCAAAACCGGTGTAGGAAAAAAAAACCAAAAAACTCTCTTATTATTATTTTATTGTTTTTGTGTCACTGTAAAATAATTCACTCATAAAAAAAGAAATCACTAAAATAAATAAATGGTGAACTAATTATTATCCATGTTTGAAATTAAGTCTATATATAGTACACCTTCCTCTGATTTCCATGTACCAAAATGTTATATATGTATATACAGTATATATATATATATAGATCATAGTGAGGGCGGTGAGTATATATATATATATATATCATTGTAGCTTTGTATAAATACCACCCGCGTTCATCTGTAAAAGCTCTTCCTGACAAAGGCCGGACTCCAGCCGAAACGTCGAAGAATAAACCGTTCGTTGTTGCTGTTTTCACCAAGGGTTTTCTTTTCCTTTCAGTTGTACCCACGCCTTTGGCCCCGCGCCCCCCCCCCCCCCCCCCCCACACACACACACACGCATATATATATATATATATAAGTGAGCTCTAAAGCACCCTCCTCCGTATTTTTCGTAAACAGAACAGAGAGATGTAAAATAACGGCAAAAAATAATGGTAGAGAGAAACATGCAAACATAAAAATAAATGTCTAAAACTAAAACTTACTTTTCAGGGTTGTTTTAACGGTAATGTCACGAATGATGACTGCATCATAGGCTTCAATTTCTATAGATTTCCTAGAAAGAAAAAAGGAGCAGAGGAAAAAACAGAACGCATTTCAGTAATTTCATGCCCGATGGCACACAACCGCATTCTTTTGAAACCGATTGAGCGAGAAATCAGAATGCTCCAAAAAACCAACACACGATATTTACATACACACATATATTCGGAGAATCATAAGTATCTCAGTGATATTCACCGCCGATCTTTACACGCGATTATCAGTTCTGTTTTTAAAGCGCGAAATAGTTTTTTAACGCTACCTCACAATCCAAAAATGTTGCCCATCCGTCCGTCCGTCTGTGCATTTTCCGCTAAATTAAACGGGGAAGTTGACGTCCCATGACACAAATGCATTTGATACATTGAGATACTTTGCAGGTAAGTTTCGCTGCCAATTTCTTTTTTTTTTTCTGCTACTCAACTCGTGGTCTATGCACTACAGTGGCTATGGTCACCGACAGTTTCAAAACGCAGGGCGTGTCTGGTTCTTAGCATTTTATTATCGCTTCGGAGCCAATGAGATTGCATTCCACCCGATAAGGACGCCAAGGAATGAACATAAATTAGAATAAACGACTGATCTCGATCTACGGAGGCCAAATACGAGTGCTGCTAAAATATTACACTAATGGTTGGCTGTTTGTCAAGCAACCTTGTGCCCCGATGCCATGTTCGTACATTTCGTACAGAGGTTACTTGTTCGTAATGCCGCTTCTTTTGCCGCGTTTTTTTGCAGCGTGTCCAGCCGTCTCAGCGGATGATTTTTGTTTGTTGTCGTTTTATGTTTTAGTGGTCGTAGTTTGTAAGTCCGCTCAGCGATGGCGCATGAAGATTATTGCCTCCCTGCTCCCTCAAGCACGTAGTGGTGCCGAAGGTGGAATTCACTGGCAGCCACATTTTAGTCCGTTCCTGCACAGCGAGAGCTTACGATCAGCTTCCACAACGCTTCTGCAACGTCCATTGCACAGCAACAAGATTATAGTTCTTTTCATGACATAAGTGGAGGCTTGTTCTGAGCCTGCACTGAGCCTGCGTTCATCGTGGCAAATTCTCTTTTCGGTCGGCAACTTTATAAATGTGTTTTAATATTCGTTACAGATGTTTGATATCACGAAGGAAAGCAGTGAAACAGCCGTAGCATCTTACCTGACTGATTTGCGCTGATCTTGCTATACTAGGCCAGTCGCATGTTTTGCGGCAGCGCGGTACGAACTTTGCGTCACACGATGGCCATGCGGCTGATCACAGGGATTGCCATCATGTTCGAGCCGCTAGTTTCGGTTTCACCGTAAACCCCGGAAACAAAACTTTTACGATATCGACAAAACTACATAAGGCATCGAAAAAAAAACAAAAAACATTAAGCCTCTTAATTTGGGAACATTTCCTTCACTAAAAACGGTATGAACCCTAAAATCGAGAAAATCTACTGGACTTTAAGAAAGGCGCGGCGTGACGAGCGCGGAGCCTCTCATGATAGCTCCGTAGCCAATTAAATATGGCTGGATTAGCTGATAAGAACGTAAAAAAGGAAATCTCGAGGCTAGAGGCTTGAACAGAGTAGGTCAAGCCCTTTATTTCTTGAGCTGTCACCGACCACAGATCGCCGATGCAACAAACGCGGAACGCAGATGTCTCAAATACACCTAGTTAGCAGGCCCCGTTAATGAAATATCGATTGGCTCGCCACTAAAAGAGGATTTTGCCTTGTTGCGAGCTAAGACAAAATCATCGATGTTTGTCGCCGTAGTGGAGAAAGCGCCATAACTAACACACATCTCAAACAAACTGAATCGAACTGCGATGTCGCGCAATGTTTTCGCTGTCATAGGGCACTCCCAAATTGTCCACACATCTACTATACGAGCTGTCCAAAGAACAGGCGGAGTCCCGAAAGTATTCGAGACACTAATCAGGTTTGACGCAAGACGAGAATTTTGCGCCTGTCACGTTTCGTGTGTCTTCAGCGTCTATAAGCTTGACTTCTTCAGTTAGACCGACATTTGAGCTTCGTCATATGTCAAAGGTCTCGTGTCGATCTCAGTATTAGATCTCTGCGCGATCTGTCGAAAAAAAAAAAAAAATACGCGTGGGCATTCTCTTTTTCGTTTTCACAGAATGTCGAGTCGAAATTTTTGTAAAGAACAGGCAAATCTGAGTTGGTTTTGCCGGTAGATCGGAACCCGTGGAATTGTGAGGCGTTCGGTGACTGTGTACTCCAATGTCTCGAATGAGCACGACTGCGGAACCATAGGCCTCGGGTACGGACCAACGGCCTTTCTGTGGTGCCGCAACCCTCCAGGGTTGAATATAAAGATTATAATTATAGTGTATAGTCATTGTGACAGCTTAAAGGGGCCCTCCGGAGCATTCTGCGATGGTTTATTTATGGCGGTAACTCAATCTACAGGCCCTAAGGATCCTAAAAATCATAAAATTACCGTCATGCGCGGCAGATTTCCCTATTAAAAGTTAAAACTGCGATCAAAGTCCCCGGCACGCCCCCCTTTCTGAGATGACCCCGGAAAACGGGAGGGGCATCTCTTTACGCGTCAGCCAATAGCAAGCGAAGGATTCCGGCGGCACTGCGCGTCACCAACGCGGACGACCGCCGACCCGCGGAGGACTCTCTGGAACACGCGCAGACCGTCGTCAAGGGGCCCGGACTTTGTGCTCGGCAGTCGTCGTTCGTCGCACCGCACCGCTACTGCAATACGCAGTCGCATTCCACAGATGACAAGGAAAAGTTTGACTCGTTGACGTGGAAGGATCGCAAAGCTGGCTTCGGAGTCGGGATCCACGGGAAGAAGGAACACGTGTCCCGCAAACGCGCGCCTGCAGACGCCCCGGGAAGCAGACGAGCCGACGCGCCGACGCATCACACCCTAGCAACAAGCTTGCGGGGAGAAAACATAGTTCGCTGGTTTTGGAGGAATAATTGCGGACTATTTTTCCCGCACCACAATCAGTTTACGTGTTTCTCAAGCTCTAATTTACAACAAGCTTAAAAAGTGTTGCAATAATAACGTTCGCATTCACCGCGAGATGCAGCATTTCCATTGGTCAAGTTTAGCGATGGACAGGGAATCGCGGATTGTCTTCCAAGAGAAAATAGTCCCGATATATTTCTACTGCCATCTGCTTAATAAACGGTTTTGTAATCTAAAACTTTGTATACATATTAACTTGCACCTACTACGCAATATAACAACATAAACAGACGATCGCAGAAAGCTCCGGAGGGCCCCTTTAACAAGCACAGGGCGTTGTTTATTAAGTTCGCGACACTTGCATCGTGATTTGTTGTTTCAGTACTCGCGATGCCCTGAGTTTCTTAATAGACCGATCTCACCAGCCAGTTTGACTACGCCACCGCTGACGGAGTGCATCAAGGGAACTTTAGTTTTTTTGCACGCGCGACAACCCCGCTGGAGCTCTTGGCGTGCAGAGCACGAGACAGCACGAGCCGTCTCGTGTACTGCCGTCTGCCTCCTGTGAACTGAAGTTATGGCGGCGTCACGCATGCGCCGAACGCTTAGTGAGATCGGTCTATTGATGTTCGAACGTATCTGTTTATTCGAAGCGTTGCACCAACGAGCTTGAGTCTTACCTTAGAGCGGTAAACCGGAACCCACTGCCTGCAGCGGAAATGGCACCCCCCCGGTTGCCGCCATCTTGACGGTTTGCCCCATTAGTGATCACGTGACGTTACGATGGCTGCGCCCAGAGGTGGGCCAGATCAGATTGGCCAGATAACGGTCAGCAGATGGGCACTCTGGGGCTGCGTTCCATTCGTACTCGAATGGATCCGAGTTTTCCGGCGGATCAAGCCACGTGACGAGACAGATGCAGCAATGCTGGACGTGAGTACGTTTTCGAATGCAACGGTACGAGACCTTCATCCGGGAGTGAGATAAAGTTGCTTTCGATTTACTCTCACCTCCTTCACCGGTGCAGAAAAGTGTAGGGCAGTCTACTTCCGGTGTGTGTATTGAGATGCGACCGGAAGTACACCGCCCTATACTTTTCTACACCGGTGCAAAAGGTGCAGGTAAATCGAACGCAGTTTCTGTCTGACTTTTGGGTGAAGGTCTTGTACCCGTTGCGTTCGAAAACCTACCCGCGTCCAGCATTGCTGCATCTGTCTCGTCACGTGACTTGATCCGCCGGAACAGTGGACCCATTCGAGTAAGGTTGGAACGCAGCCATAGAGTGCCCATCTGCTGACCGTGATCTGGCCAATCTGATCTGGCCCACCTTTGGGCGCAGCCATCTTAACGTCACGTGATCACTAATGTGGCAAACAGACAAGATGGCGGCAATCGGGGGGGGGGGGGGGGGGTGCCATTTTTGGCCGCTGGTTTACCGCTCTAAGTTTACTCAAGCTCGTTGGGTTGCACCGGAACCTCTCTATGGAAATGATTATGATGTACCGGAGGAAAGTCTACAAGCGCGAGCTCCTTGCTCTAGGGCACATCTCGGCGGCACAAGCGCTCGTGCATTAAGGGCAGCTGCCAGTGCTAAGAGTTCGCGCTTCTATATACAGTTAAGGCCGGTTCAGACACTTGCGTTTGAGTGCGCTCGACTTCGTTGCGTCGAGAAGCGAAAGCGAGTCATCGGCACATCTGTGCTTCGTATGAAGCGTGGAATCCAATTCAAGGAATCATCTTGGCACGCGATAGAAGCAGCAGGGATGACCCGGTTTCTCGCAGCCGCAACGCAGTCAAACGCAGTCAAACGCAGCTGTCTGAACCAGGCTTTATAGGTCAAGAAAAATATTCGAGGGAAAGGAAGGCTGGCGAGAAGCGAGCCAACGGAATGATAAAGAAGAGAGAAGGAAACCTCCTCCTTTTTCCAGCGTTCCGTCTGCTTCCTTCTCCTCAGCCTTCCTTTCCCCCGAAAACTTCTTTACTGACCCTAGCCTTCGCTGCGGTACAACATAAGGGTGAAACAGAGTATAGAGATTAAATGGAATGTCGGCTGCGATTTTGGGTGATACTAGTGCGTTTCAGGGGTGCACGGTTTTCACGCCTGCTGCAGTGCCAAGCTCGCGCCGCTCTTTCGTTTTTATCGCTCGCTGGGAATTGTTCCTCTCGCATAAAGAAAGGGCATGTTGCGCGACTTTGAAGATGTGTAGTTGCAGGGCTATTGGTATGAAGACACGCGCGGGTTAAAAAAAAAAGCAAAAAAAAAAGCAAACAAACAAACACGACAGTCAGTCATTTAGGTAATCTACGAAGATAGCACTAGCAGAAATTGTTTTGTGCTTGTTCGCGCACAATATATTCTTCTAGGTCCGCTGCTGTACAATCGTGTGCATAGCAGCGAACCTTCGGAAGGTTCGTTCTCGCACTTCCAGCATACAAAACGTTCTCTTAAGAAAAAATAAAAAATAACATGCCTGGATGTTCTATTCGATGTACACAGTCGCATATGACGACCGAATGAACACCGACAACAACCTAAAGAAACACTAAAATGAAGAAAAAGAAATAGAGCGCCTAAACAAAAAGTGCATGCCACAAAATGTATTTTTCACGAAAAGAACAGTTCTTTACGTGGAAATATTACTTTGGGAAATACCAACTAGGAACTTAATATTTTTCATTTCAGTGTTTCTTTTTTGTTTTCGTTTTTTTTTTTGTTTTTTTTTTTTTTTTTGCCACAGGTGCTTGTCACTTACCATATTCCCTGGGAAGGAAAAGACGGTCCCCAGTCCCAACTGAACGAAGACTGCGTCTTGCGCAGGTAGTTGACGTGGCACTGACCGTTCTGCACGGCGGGCGGGCAGATCGGGTAGATCTTGTAGGACTTCGCCTGCGTCTCGTGCTTCCCGAGGGCAATACAACACCGGCGACTGACCACCTTCACCGCGATGGTGTTCTCGGTCGGTGCTTTCTGCGAAGGAGTGGTGGAGCCACACTTGATTTTAAGCGTTGGTGATTCGCATGTCTCCTACGCTAATCCTCCGAGTCCGCCATTGTCTGGGCACGCTATAGACGCTTTACACACG